CTTTAACGGACGCTCTGTCGCATAGATACATGCACCCTGTCACTGTAAACTGGCCTGTCAATCATCTTGTCACAGTTAACATCCTCCACATTGCATTTCATTTAACTTCCTACCGTATTGGAGAGAAAAGAAGTAGCACATTGATCTGCCAATCGTGGGTCTTTCATGCCGAGAACTCCGCTCATATTTTATGCATAATGATGCATTTAAAAGTTAACGACCAAACGGAGGTTTATAAAAGTTTATATTGCTGTTGCAGATGAAATATAACACAGATAACATTAAATAAATATTTTTTTACCAGGTTAAATGTTGAATATTAGTAACTCAAACCCCTTTTTCTAACAGTGCGTTTCCACTACAGTGTCAAATCTGCGCTCAGTGACAACGCTACAACGCCACTGCTTTGGGGCGTGTCAAATTTAGGGCAGAGCACGCCTCTGAAAAATACCCTGTTTACGTTTCATCTTCTTCCTTTCACAGCGATTGGTTGTCGCCCGGCATTTTTCGCTCTACATTTGCATAAAGTCGAGGAATGCCCAATCTTTTTGAGGCTCTCAGCCGCTGTCAACGCTTTCTCCACGCTGCTTTCAATCCCATAATACACCGCGTGAGCGTTTAAGCTCAACTTCCATAGGAATGAATTGAAAACGCTCGCTACGTGCCAGTGGAAACGCACCATAAGCCTCTCTACCTAACCGCCGGTCACGCACATCCGCCATGTTTGTAGTTTTTAACGCGTTTTATTCATGTTTGTAGTTCTGGACAGAATCCTTCACCTAAGCGCAATGGATTGTGGGCAATATTAGCCATTAGAGTGTGCACGGATCCACACTTAAAAAATCAACCTGAAATAGTAGACCATCCGGGGACTTTTGGCATACTCTTTTCAACATACTATGCTTTGGGACACACTAATTCTAATCTCGCATACTATTTAGGATGGATAGTATGAACATTGAGACGCAGGGTATGTTTTTTTTTTCTTGTTTGTCGGGAGTAGACGTCACAGTTACGTCACTTGCAGCTGCGCGCGCATTGTGGTGGCAGAAAAACACTGGGAACAAGTGGAGGGAAACGGGTAAAATCCAAGGAATAAGAGAAAAAATATATTGTTGTGCTTTTGGATGTCAGAATTGGAATGGAAATCATTTTTATATAATACTGTTGTCATGCTGAAGCTGAACGCAGACGTTTAAACGGACAGACTATGGATGAAACCTGCTATGATTATCCTACTTTTAAAGCATAAATTTGATTTAAACAATAGGTCTATATAATATTCACATAGGGGACATATTGTATTAGCCCTACAGTTAAAGCATGAAATATTATTTAAACCTATAACATTTTACATAACATTTA